CTTTGCAACATTAGTTTTAATGTTCATACTATATGGCGGATTAAACAATATTATATTCCTACTCCGGTTTTTTTCGCTTATAGTTTACAGTCTCATTTTGATTATACTTCATTTCATCATTAAAGCCACTAGATTTTAGCGCTTCACTGTAAATCTGCTTCGTGTTGTCGAAGGCCTGTTGGTCACTTGACAATTGGGAAATTATTCTGTTGACCCCAAGTGGTATTTCTTTCAAAATAACAGGGGGTGGTTAGAATCTTTGTGTATAGGCCTATACAATGGTTGATCTCCGGTCTTCCTAAATGGCTGATATTTACCGGTTTGGAGATTGAGTGTAACATCAAGGTAGTCTACAGAATGTTTACTCACATCAGTCGTAATCTTCAAGCCGAACTCGATAAATACATTGACACCAACTCAGCTATATATGTGTGTATGTGTGTGTGTATATTCAAAATATTACTTTATGCATAAAAATATATTTAATTTTACTTTAAATACATTAGTTTGTTAAACGTTTTTGCAAAAATCAGGAAATCATCTGTAACTGTATTAGTATCTGTGTTGAATTTAGTGTAAAATTGCTTAGAATACATTACGACACATATTATCTCAAGCTATTTCGTAATACTCAATGAATAATAGCAAATCAAATGATAATAACTTTGGTTAATGTGATTTCTTACATTATTCAGAATAGGCTATGAATTTTACTAATTTTTGAAATGTTAAATTTTCTCCGACGAAATGACCGGAAAGCCATGTTTGACCATTGACACAATTCTTATAGGATTTTTATGCACCTGAGCTACAGTCCGTAAAAACTTTTATTTTAAGTATTAGAAGCTTTGATTGATGGAGAAATTTGTGCGAGTCATCCAAGCTCTCTTCGTCTGACATTTTGACAAATAACTTATGATTTTGGTATGGAAGTACAGGTAGCTGGAGGTGTATGTTTTTATTCACGCTAATAAAAATTAATTTTTTTAAATAAAAAAATGTATAGAAATCTGTATAGAAATCTGATACCTAGATGTTCCTAGAATTTGTGCTATTTGGTAGTTATTGGTCACTGTGATATTACATTGTTTTAAATGTATTATGTTTCAATCTAATTGATTGCTCATGTTTTGGACAATTATAAGATATTTTGCTTTCATTATGGTAACTTTAGTAAAGCCACCAAATTGCACAATTGTCACACAGTATCTAAAATATGTTGGTAGGTAATTCCATCAAACACATACAAGTTTCGAAAATGAATCCATCGATACATATACTTACTTCACACACTAAAGTATAGAAATATATGTTTATCAACTAAATAAATAACGATCAAGCATGTACAAACATTTTTCGCTGTTTATAGTCACTGGCTAAGAAGCCATGTTAGTTTTAGTCACTTAGATTGGTTCTTTGTTAACGTTGAAATTTCTGAAACCACCACTGGAACACCGAGGCTGTATCGTCGATTGTGATGAGAATTATGGCACAAACTAGGCCTATCATTTTTTTTCTAGTAAACTGAATCATATATTTTGTCTAAACTTGGGTAAGCATCTGATAGACATCAGCTCCACTCGAACTGCCCATTACGTTTACCAAGAAAGTAGGCTGCTTCTCCCTGTTCTTTTGCAGGTAGAATAGTAGAAAAACTGATTTAGAACACTGGGTCAACATTCGGCAAACTGAATTTCGGAAAAGTGGATATCATGATTTTTGAGTTAGCAAACTGGAATTTGGCAAATTGACCTTGTAAACAAACCCCAATAATCCGAATTATATACAGAATTCAACTCTCCTGTACAAATATTAACAGAGTTTTCCGGATTTAAAAAAATTTTTACCAAAGCCGGTTTTAAACTAATTATATATTTATGTATAACAAATTAGTTAGAATTTGTTTTTGAAAAAATTATTACTTGTCATTAGTGTCACTTTTGTTATAAGTGGAAACATTAGATGGCTCAGAAAACAAGACAATAATTAAAAAACAGGTTTTTTTTGCCCCAAAACTTGTGTTTTTGTTAACAACTGTTTTCCTGGTATTTTGCTAGGGAAATGTTGTATTATAGCGAATAAAAACATGAGTCTTTCTACCAAACTGAACCATTTTTGAATAATAGTAACCGAAGTACAGATTTTTCCCCCAAAAAAGGTTAAGTTTGGTTAAAATCAGCGATTGAAAGTCCAAACCTCAACCGCTGCGCCAAACTGCCGCTTGCAGATTCGTAATTAGCATGGTCAAAATATCCAAAATCAACTGGATCCCAGCTTCTACCTAAAAATGCCTATTGCATCATCATTTTTTGGATATGGAACTTGTCTATAGAACAACTTTCAAGATATTTACAAATATGCATTCATCGGATGTTTATGATTATAAAATCATTACCTTTTGTTGGTGGAACCAGGGAAGAGTCAAATTTCACACCAAATTTCATAGTTACCAACCGTCTCGCCTCGTTGCGGAACGGTCCCGCATTATAAAATGATTTTGGATGTAACACGCATTTGGCAGATATTATGTCATTTGACAAAAATGCAATTGTTCAGGCTGAGTTTGAAATAAATTAACGTGGTGAAACCTCTCAATTCTATCTTTTAATATTTATCACATAAAATAACGCAAAGATTTACTATATTCATGGTTTAAATTAAGCATGTAAATATATCTCTTAAAAGCTGTCGGTTAGCCATCAAACCTTGGCCGGTTGAGTTTACCGGGCTCCGACCCTGGTCATTTGGGTCTGCGGCAACTATTAATGTCTACACTATCTTGATTTTTCTAAACCTATTGATGAAAATCAAAGCACAGTTTCCCCAGTGGCCGGGCGGAACACCAGGGCCCTAGGCACGAGGGGCCCTGACATTGTAGTTTAAAAAAAATATAAATCAGTATAAACTATAATACCATAGTTTTCATCCAATGGGGCCCCAACAGTTTAAAAAAATAAAAGCTGGGTTCTGATGTTTGAAATTTGTTTCTGATTTTGTGATCAACCTACTTTGCATTGCATACTAGTATGCGTTATTAAAACATGTTTTGTTTCTCACTAAAATATTCTCTTTATTTATTTACACCTACATTGAGTGCATAGGCCAGCTGAGGCCTATACCAGTTACGAAAGTTGGCCTATTATAATTTTTGTTGTTTTTTTTTTTAGATTCATTAACATTTATTGCATAATGGTCAAAGAAAATTACAATAATTACAATATTAGATACTATGAAATACATAATAAACTTTTGTTATGTTTGATATAAATAATAACAAGACTACTGGGATCAAAATAAGAAGTAAAAATTGTCTCATAATGACCCCAAATAAAATTAGACAAACAAAAGAATTACACTTCAATTACATATAGTAATAATAATAATAATAATAGTAATAATAAATATAATAATAAATATAATAATTATAATAATAATAATGAAAAAATATACAAAGTTTAGCGCAATAAAACTTTATGAGTCCTCAGATTGATAACCAGCTAAGTAAAATGTATTCAAATGATTTCTGATTGATTTTATAGTTTTATAATCAGTGATATCAGTATCAAAATTATTCCATAAAGTTGGTCCTGAAAAAGTAATAAAATCTGACTTTTCTTTAGTCTCACAAAAGGAACAAAAAGTTTGTGTGGGTTTCTAACGTTATAATTGTGAAAACTTAAACGATTAAAAAACAAATTATAGGTAACATATTATTAACTTATTGAAACATAAATGATGTAATTTGAACCTTATGGGGGTCGTAAATATTTAAAATATTTAGTTTCTTGAACAAAGGTTCAGACGAAGAAGAGAAAAGAATTTATGTTGGTTTTGTCATAAAATTGTCGCAATATTTCATCAGTCATGGACCAATATATGTTCAATAACAACGCAGTTAACAATTCATACATGCTATAAACTCTTAAGTAGAGCGAGGGGCCTTTACCCCCTTGACCCCGACCGGGGCCCTACGCGGCCTCCTATCCCCCAGCGTATGTTGGCTCGCTCCGCTCGCAAAATTAAACGCTCGCTTCGCTCGCTTTAGGGCCTCCAATAACAGTCACTGCCAGGGCCCCACAAATTCTGTGGCGCCAGGAGTTTCTCCCATGGCGGCATAGGCCTAAGAGATTTCATGGTGAGCGGAGGGTGGGGAGAGCAGAATCCCCGACGGAGGTACCAGGTCCCTGACGAGAGAGTTCAGATATCGCCAACAGGGGATCCATACCTACCTCAGCCTCAATGTGGTTGAGAAAAAAATAAGGAAGGAAGCTCTCGCAAATGACACTCTCAGAATGTGGCCATAGCTGTGTTCGACGAAATGGTTGCATGGTTTCTTTCAATACCTTCGGTCCACAATTCCCCAATGGAAGGAAGTGGGTGGGGTCGGAGGGAGTACTTTGCCCTCCTGGACCCCGCTTGTGGCGCCACCACTGGTTTCTGATCTGCCGTGCCACTTGAATAAATGTATTGATCTTTTTCCGCCCACGACGGATTTACTCAATCCGTATTTGTGTGTAACATTATACAAAGTTTGACTCGTATCCGCTAATCCCGATAGGCCTGCTCCGTCGCTGCGTATGCCCAGTGTCATAATGAGATTTAGTTTGTGTTAAGCATAACGACTTTGTCTTGTGAAAGGGATTGTCACCTACCGTACTCGAGTACATTGATTTATTTGCGTGTGCGCCAAAATAAATAAATAATAAAAAAAATTAAAGAAAAAAAAAGAAAGAAAAATAAGAAATTTTGTCCAATTTTCTATGATCTTGGCCTTATTTATTTATTTTTTTTATATTCACACCCAAACATTCAACCACCCCTTCCTTAGATCAATATTTTCCACTCCAATAAATTTTATGATACTACATTCATCATAAAGCAGCCAACAATCAGCGATATTACATGTACCACTTTGGATGAGGTAATCATAGATATACTATATTAATCATCATCCAAATAACATTCACAGACATCACAATAATATAAAAAGAGCTGATAAATTATGCTTCTTTGCTTTGCTTTTATTAATTATCCAGATCAAATTCAGATAACTCTAGATATTGTTATAACATAGGCCTACAGTAATTTGCTGCATGCTACGAGCTATTTTTGATGTAGTTTGTTTGAGAAACACGTCTTTATTAATATTTTATGAAATAATGAATGAAAGCAATCACTCCACCAATGTAAAGACAAAAACACAAGCTAGCATTTTTTCAAGCCAGGACGTCATCGTCAAAAGTGTCAGAAACTATCTCAGCAAACATTTATATCATTTAAATTTCAGTAGTAGTTTCTAGTAGGCTATTCTTAGTGCCTATACATGAAGACAGACTGAAAGAAGTTAACATGAAAAACAACTTTAAATGGTGTACTCCAATGACAGGCCATATTTTTTAGCAAAAAATACGTATGCGTATTCATGGGCCTGTATCAAAATTAATGGTAATTTTAGCAACTGCCACTTCCACGCGAGCAGCAATTTTGCACTCGTGACCAATAGATGAGTGTGCTACTTCTTTTGAACCCGTTAGGCCCACCGTTGTGGATACGAGCGTGGTCTTGGCAAGTAGGCGTGTGTCTGAGGTGTCTGTAAACAGCGTATCGTGCCATGTATCCTTGAATAGTGCTCTCACTGCAGGACCTGGAAGCCGCGCATGTTCTCCAACCTGAAATAATGCAGATCATTAACACACCAATTAATGAAAAGCAATAATTATTAATAAACTAATGACTGAGGGTAGGCGTAACAAACGCTTGGAAACTACAACGTTGTACTAAGGCGAGACTTTTTCAATACCATGTTTAGCAAAACCCTGCCAATAATGATGATTACGAATAAAAATAAAATTTTATTTTTGGCCAATTAGCGCACCCGCTGCCACAAAAAAAGTATAAATTTCAGGGAAAAAATGAAAGTTTTTCTTTATTTTTATTACGCCCTACGCTGCCTTGATAAGATATGTGTATTTCTTCCTAATTATATAAATTTAAAGTATTTAACCATCCTATTTTACATTCACTAATAAAATTTTATTTTATTTTCTCTTCTGTCTAGATGATTTTGGCAAAACTATTTGCTAAATAAGAAAACAAAATTTTATTTTTATTTTTATTCCGCCCTCCTCCAATATTCTTTAAAAAAATAAGTATGCAAAACAAGGAATAAAAAAAAGTCTTGCCTAAAATAAAATAATACTATATTAAAAC